TGGCTTAAAGTTTTTAATAACATCTTTTTTAACTTTTTGATGGCTGTGTTTTCTCTAGTGGTATCCCATTTTATTGCTACAATTTTGCATGGATGCACCTTCTCTTTCTCTTTGTTCTCATTTTATCAGTTTTAGACTAGTGTTTGTTATGATCTCCCACTGTGTTTGTAGATTTGTTATTTTTTCTGGTAGTCATTTTGAAACCATATTATTCAGTGCTTACTTATTTAGAATTGTAGCTTGGTCAAGAATTGAACATTTTACAATTATAATTATCTTCATTAATTCTTTGTTCTTTATTATCTCTATATAAAAATTTTATTAGATGTAGATTATATCTAGAAGCTTAATTCTGACATTTTTGTGTCTATTAATTCTGACTCATGGTGGATTATTTTCAATGGGAAATTTGTCATTATAGAGTTTGAATTTACTTTAATATGGAAATCAAAGGTTTCTTTGAGATTTTACAGTCTGACCCTCCCCAATAAATTTGTATTTCCTTCTTCCTATGACCTCATGGATATCACAGCTCAGAATAATATTTCATGTTAATTCATTATATTGGGGTATAGATTCAAACCCTAAGCATACGTAGGGAAAATCTATAGTTACAAGTTATCAAGGGAGCTGTTTTTATTTCTACTTAAAACCAGAACAACATAATCTACTTTGTCCACATTATTTGCCATAGAGAAGTATCTGTTTGTGTTTGCTAGATCCTTTTTAATGAATATGCAGGCTTTTTTGGACAATGACTCTATTCAGCAGTCTCATTTTCCATTCTGCAACTAGCTCAAGGCTGCTTCTCCTATAATTACAAGACCATGGGAAAGAGTTGTCACTGGAATATTATAAATAGGTAACCTCAGCTCAAAACTGCCAGGGTTTAACTATTTTAACTATTCTTGTTTCAGTTTCCCTGTTTGTTACTGGCTTCTGAGATCCCTCTTTCTTGAGAATTCAGCTATGGAATTGAAAGAACCATCAAATTTATCCAGCAATTCTAGACATTTTGCAAAGATTTTTGGATTATTTATTCTGCAGAACTGCCAGTGATAGAATCCTGTGCTTATCTTTATAAGCCCTTGAACAATAGCAGATATTTTTTATTATAATTTTTAAAACTATGTAAACTATTTAGCAAAGTGCCTACTACATTGTAAAGCACTTAATATATACTAGATTCCCTTCACCTAGGGTTGAAAACTGATACTTATAGGCTTGCTGAGTTGTTTAATTTCAGTTACCAAGTATTTAAAACACATGAGATTATTCATATGGGTTACAAAGATTAAACCACATTTACTTCTATTTAATATAGCAATGACCTTGAGATTGCTTCATATTTTATATTTTCCATTCACAAATAGAGATAGCTGTCTTAATAAAGTTTTAATTCCAATTCCCATAACATTGTGTAGATGGAAAAGAAGTATCTCTTCTCAGCCTAAGTTCAAGGCTAATGCCCCTGTAACAAAAGATAAACTAATAAAAGAAAAGCATACAAATTTATTTAATGTAAGTTTTATGTGACACAGGAGCCTTCATAAGGAAATGAAGACACACAGGCACAGGTAAACTTGTGTATTTTTACTCTTAGGTTTGGTGAATAGTAGGCAGTTATGGAGAAATACTATTAGAGGACAAAAGGGTATAATGTAATAGTAATAAACAGGGGGAAATTTAGCAAGGCCTAAATTTGATCAGATTCTTGACGTCTCAGTGTCTTTGGCTCCTTTCCTCCAGGTATACAGAGTATACCTTTTAAATGATGATCCTATGACTGGCTTCAGGGGAAATGGGCAGGAGACAGAGAATGAACTTTCTAAGTTTTTAAACTAATTTCAGGGGACAAAGTGGGAAAATGACGGTGACCTTCCTGCTCCTATTTTCTCAAATATCACCACACCATGTTTTAGAGTAGCATGCTCTGAGCCCAATTTATTGTATATCACCTTGGTTCTTTGTTCTCATGGTTTAACTCAGCAGCATAACTAGCATGTAATTGAATGTGTGAAGTAGAGGTCTCAATAGACATTAACCTCCTTTAGCTATGTATGTCTGTGCTTTTTGTAAATTTTAATTGTAGTTTTGTTTTTCCTTTTCTAAAAATATTGTATAACTAGTAGTAAAAATTTATGAATTTTGTGAGATTTTTAATTACTGATAGTGGTGAGATAATTGAGTTTGATCTTTATGACTATCAGATAATATATTGTGAGATGCATGGCAAATGAATTTAAATGCATTTTTGACAGTAATCCTTAAAAGCTTTCTTGTGATAATTAAAATTAGTGGAAAAAATGCATATAGCTTTTCATTATATAGTGAGCTATGTGCTGTTTAAAATTTAATTAATAGTTAAATCTAATTCAGACAATATTGGTCCAAAAGCTGTGAGCAATTGGTAACAGGTAGCTTTTGGGACCCTTCTAATTTAAACATGCATGTATGCTAACTAATTGGGTGAATTTTTATTTGCTTACAGTTTCAGAAATGTTATAACTAAGATTTTCAGATAGACTGCTGATTATTTTCAGACCATATGTTGAATACCTGGATCCTAGCCAAATAGTAGTATTATTTGGATATTCTTAGGGATTTGAAGCAAGTTGATAATATTCTTTGATAGGGGCATATTGCTCTATGTTGACTTGAAATATTTTCATCAAAGTTCTTCTCCACTTTGCTACTCTAGAATTCCATCAGAAATATGAAACAAGTTAATTCATGTTTTATTAAAATTCTTGTCTTAAACATCTTCATTTCACATCTATAAACCAATGTCAGAAACAATATCTATATGTGGTTAACAAAGGATAAAAATATGGTCTGGATCACGAAATTTTTGTAAATCTTATAGGCCATGCATAATATCAATGGTTATCAAAGGCAAAAATTTAACTTGAATAAAACAAATACACTGATATAATAAACTCAATTCCAAAGAGATAAGTATTAGGTTCACAGCATATATTTTCACAAATGTAGATTGTATCATATAGAGAAAACATACCATATGTACTAAATTAATTTAAAAGATCAACCACAGATATAAACTCTTGAGGATTGAAGAAGTTGTAGATATACACGTAATATAAAGTCATGTTCATGGGCCCAGTCATCATATATAAGAGTACCCATTGGAACATTAATAGCAATGGCCAAATGATTGAATAATCCAAATGTTTATCTAACAGTAGAATGAAGAATCAGTTATGGAATATTCAAAAGTGAAATTCTAACAGCAATGAAAACAATAAACTAAAGCTATATCCAACTATGTGGATATATCTCACAAAATGTATAATTTTTAACAAAGAAGTCAAACACAAAATTTAATGAAAACTAATAAAGCATGAGAAAGAAAGAGAGTAAAGGAGAAGAAATAATAGCATAATTGTGGCCAACTGTCAATAATTATTTTAGCTGACGTATACAGAAATATTCACTACTATTCTTACAACTTCTCTGTATGCCTGAAAATTTTAAAACATAGTATTTGAAAAATAAAGTTTACAAACATGAAAATCTAAGCTATTGTTTCAAGATGCATTTATGAAAAATGAGTATCACAAAATTCAGGGCAGTGGTTCACTTGGGAAGAGAAAAAAAATTGTTATGAGAGAGGTGCACAAAGGATACTTAGGGGTGCTGATGTTATTCAGTTTCTCGAGCTAGTATTGGTGTTTGCATGAGTCTTCATGTCATTATTCTTAGTTAAATTGCTTGTATTTCTGCATGTATATTTTATTTCCCAATAAAGGAAGTAAAGAAGAGCAAAAATGTTTACATAGTGATAAGCTATATAAAAATCTTTGGAAACTGAAACAGTTATAAAATTGTTAAACATTATTATAAAAAATAATATAGAATGTTCATAACATTCTTTTTTTTATAGTGATTTGCCATAAACAGAGGTAAATTTTTGTAATGCGGATTGTGTAGGGGAAAAAAATTTTTCTTTTTCCTCTGTGCATCATAAGTTCATTTGTGAGGGCTCTGTAAATTAGACTGACAAATGAGAGAGTAACAAGAGAAAAACAAAACATGTTTAGTAACATCACGCATGCACAAGGGAGCTTTCAGTAATAAATAACACAAAGGGGTGGTTAGAAGTTGAATTCATATAAAATCTTAGCAAAAAGCAATATATTTGTAGGGAAGTAACAAGGCAAAGGAAACTAACTAGGGGCCAGGAATTATGAGAAGGTAAATATATGGGAAACTAATCGTTCATAGCACTAGTTTTAACATAGTTTGTTGTGTAGATTTCTTTTGCATCATCAGGGGCTGCTAAGGGTCCAGAGTTGGCTCCAGATGATTAACTTCTTTCTGATAGAGAGGAGAGACACCTTTAGAAATGTGTGTTCTGCTTTTAAGCAAATACAAAGGGGCAGAGGGCATTTCTTGTATCTGCTTCTTAATTGTCTTCAGCTCAATCAATATACTAAAGAAAGTCGCATATTTTGGGGTGATGTATTCTGCTACCCTTCAATTAATTACCTGAAATCGACATATCAAAGAGTATTTACTGAGAACCTATTTTTGAAGCCAGCATTTATTAGTGATTTTATTTTTATATAAAACATATATAGCATTAGTTTTAAGTCATGATTAATCCCATAATGACAAATGTTATTTTCTAAATGATACATAATATATCTTGCAATAGTCTGTTTTAAAAACATTTTATTAAAGTCTATTTAACTCAGATTGAAATTTACATATATATAATATAGCATAAACTGAGCAGCTTTTATTATCAAAGTAAGTTTTTCTAACTTCCTATTATGATTTTATTACTTATTTTGTAATGCTTTCTCTGTCAAAATTTGGTTAGATTGCAGTCCTCAACCTAATTTTAACATATTATCTTAATCCACTTGATTTTTATTTTCTGTAAAATCTAAGTCAATCACCAAATCTAATTATGAAATTCAAAAACCCCAACATAAGTGTTTAAAGGAACCAATATCAGAAAGTATATTGAAGAAAAATATAATTACGATTTTAAAATTCCCAATAGATAATAGATAAGACTGAAAACTTAATAAAGAGTATTTTAAAAGGGGATGTAACAGAAAGCAACAATAGAATAAAATAAGAAGTATAAAAGGATTGGGAAAAGGGGGGTAAAATGGAAGACAGGTAAATAAGTTGATTCACATTGAAGGGGACTACTAGAAGAAAGAAATCAAAACAATTGGAACTAGTAAACTACAATCCAACAAAATTTTCTAGAACTAAGGAAATATTTGTAACAACATATTGAAAAAGATCATAATGTTTCTGAGAAAAAAAAAGTTTTCAGAAGAGTCAATTCTATGACATAAAATAGTCAACTATTAGAATTTAAAGGAAAAAAGAAAAATGTATGTGGCCAAAAATAATGAAATTATCTATAGCAGTAACAAATGAGTGTGACATCAGTCTTCTCAACAACAACATACGAAGAAATGCATCAGGTGAGCAGCATTTTCAGGAGACTCAAGGGAAGTACAGTGCCATCCAATTCATCCAAGCTTCCTATCAAGTGCCAAACAAACAAACAGTTTTTCAGTATACATGAAGTCAGGCAATATTGTGATCATGAGTCTTTCTGAAAGTATCTACTAGAATATAATATTCTTTAAACTAAGAGATGAATGAGATGTTGCCAGCAAGAAATCTGATAGGGATCATTTAAAAAAATTATATATACATACATACATACATACATATATATATATATATTTGTAGATCTAACATTAAATTGAAAGGTGGGGAAAGGGTGGCAGAATAATATGTAAATGTTGATATATTTAAGTAAAAACTAATAACTTCAACTTTTTAAAATTGGAAAGAAGGGAGAGAGTAAGGTAAAAGTAAAATAAGCACATCATTTGTTTCATAAGTAATAATAGGAGTAAAAACTGGTTAACTATATGTTAAAGATTATATAAGAAAAATGCTGATCACAGAACTTATAAAAGATGTGATTACAAAAGTTTAACTGCTGAGACAAAATATAAATCTTCATAAGCATGAAAAAAAACTAAGCTCCAGAAGGGCCTGTCTCGGTGCTGAATGTTAGATGCAGACTCCTTCCCTTTATTAACACCTCTCTCCAGACAATGAGCACAGAGCTTCAGTGTATTTGTATACATATCTCCCATGACTGTAAAATATTATGCAGGTTAAAAATGCACAAAGCTAATGAAAAGTGAAAAAGAAATGTGCAATAATCATTAAAAATAAAAATGAGAAAAATATTTATTAGAAAAGATATATATACCAAAAATATGTTCAGTAATGTTAACATAAAACAGATGCATATTTAGACCCAAGTATATTGTCTATCTAAAAATTGAAGTTTAGGCCAGGCGTGTGGCTCACGCCTGTAATCCTAGCTCTCTGGGAGGCGAGGCGGGCGGATTACTCCGAGTCAGGAGTTCTAAACCAAGCCTGAGCAAGAGCGAGACCCGTCTCTACTATAAATAGAGAAAAATTAATTGGCTAACTAAATATATATACACATATCTATAAATATCACATATATATATATATATATATATATAATAAAATTAGCCGGCATGTGGGCATGCCTGTAGTCCCAGCTACTTGGAGGCTGAGGCAGAAGGATGCTTGAGCCAGGAGATTTGAGGTTGCTGTGAGCTAGGCTGACCATGGCACTCACTCTAGCTAGCAACAGAGCGAGACTCTATCTCAAAAAAAAAAAAAAAAAAAAAATTGTGAAGTTTACTTCCATGACAACAAAACAAAAAAATAATTGACTCACAAGAACAAGATCTGATTATATGCTGTATACAAAGGTACAATGGACTCAACTTAAATCAAAACTAAGGAAATGAGGAACTAAGATATACCAACCCAGTGAAACAATAAGAAAAAAGATTCAAATCCTAAATTACACAAAATAAAATTCATCGTTAAAAAGCATTGAATATACAATTAAAATTTCTCAAAGATATTATAGGGTTATGAATTTATATAAAACAAAATAAAAGGATACATTATCAACAGTTGAATACAAGAGAGTCCACATTGTTAGAACTAGTAAAGAATAAATTTTAGTATAACTAAGAATTGTACAAAACCTGGATAAAGAAAACTTCAAAATAATCCAACAGATGCCAAAAAACAAAACACTTGAAAAACCAACAATGTAGTCCTTACCTTGACAAGCCCAAACTACAATAAAAAGGGAAAATAAGTTTTATAGTTTAATTCTCTGAATCTAATATATCCCAAAAGAATCATCCAATCTATCTTTACCAGAGCTAGACTAGTTGATACTTATTGCTATTTAAAAAATGAACTGGCAAAAATACTTTAAAAAAAAAACTCCTAATACAGATAACTCCTAAGCAGGAGGTCTAGTGCTGTTAACATGAATCATCACCAAAAGCTACACAAATTAAGACAGTTGGTATATTAGTACATGAATAGATACAAAATATTAATAGAAATAATAATTGAAAATAGATATTATTTCATAATCTATAAGCAGTTTATTCATATGATAAATGTGTGTCATATCAATGAGGCAAAAATGACTTTGAAAAAATACGCTCAGGAAAGGAAAGCTAGGGAAAAATAGATAACAATGATCGTACAACACAAAATTCCATATTGATAGGAAATCTAAATGTTCAAAATAAAATCATTCGTACTAAAGAAACCTAGAAGTTTAATTACTCTATAAATCGACTGTGGGGGTAGGCTTCTATAAGTTAATGTTAATTTATATTGTTATTACAAACTTACATATATAAAACATCAATTTGTATAATGTTTAAATATATGTTTATTTATTTTTAATTGAAGGGGATCTCCTTTCTGAGTATTTACTCCTAACGCAACACTTCAACTATTACCAAAAATATGTACGTCATAAGTATCCTACTGCAATTGAGTTTTTAATGAATAAATATTGAAACAACCTAAATCCCATATATAGAAATTTCCTTTGAAAGAATTGGTTTTTGTGAAAGCCCATGCATCTGTAGAAGATGGGGAAAGGGATTTTATTGTGGACATTTACATAAAGTCAAATGACATGGGTGTACTTAACAGTATAGTATTTTTTGTTAAGAGGGAGAAATAAAAAAAGATATATCTTCTTTGAAAACACAAGAAAGTAAAGGAGAAACTAATGAATTTGGTACATGAGGTAAGTAAACGAAATATAAAGAAGAGAAAGCGACATTATGCCATAGATTGATTTTTTCTTTCTTTTTTTCTTTTTTTGAGACGACATGGGTCTCACTATGTTGCTCAGGCTGTTCTCAAAAACCCCTGGCTCAAGTAATCCTCCCATGCTCAGCCTCACCCCCAAAGTGTTGGGATTTCAGGTAGAACACTGCAGTCCAGCCTATTTTGACTTTGAAAATTATTGATTTTCATATACTTAAAAAAAAGGATTATATTGAACAAAGTAATGGGAGAGGAAACTAAAAATAAAACCAGCTATGCTTCAAATATTAAGAGAAACCACAAAGATAAAAATTAATCCACTAAAACCCCTTTGAAACATTATTTTCATTATATACTATTGTCCTTTCAAAAGCAAAAATAACTTCATAACATCGAAACTCTACAATTAGGCTGTTTTTCTTTGAATAGATTGTGGCACTGCATCTGAAACTATTTTGTTTGGTAGAATTAAGTAAATAAGAAATTTGGAGACTATATTGGGATGGGGTTCCACTGTTGGAAAAGGAGGAACATGAGAATCTAGAACCACCAGAAAAAGTTTTGCTTTGGTTGGAATGCATATATTGTGCTGAATGACTTATTTAATGTTTCCACTCTTTGCTCCCTGAAAAGGCCTAGTAACATGGTGTTAAGTAGTTATAACACAAACTAGGACAGAGATATTGGTTGTAAATATTATTCGTCAGTAAAACAAACCCCGAGTCTTCTTGGACTGTTAGAAGAAATTTGTGATTCCAGGGCTACGGCAAAATATGCAATATGAACCTCAAACTCTTGAATCAGAAAGTAAGGAATGCTAAAAATAAATGGGATCATACTACTGCCAACGGGGCATGATTGACCATTAAATGCATAATGATAGTATTCAGATTATAACCATGAAATAGATTGCTAATTAACCAAATCCATACTTATTAAAAAATAGGCTAATGGTGTTAGATTTCTCCATATAGATATGATAGAGATAGATAGAGAAAGAGTAGACCATAATTTTTTAGACAATAAGAGCAAAATACAAATTAATCGAATAACAGATTTGAGAAATACCACCATTTTCAAGCATTCATAGTAGTATTGATTAGGTAAAAAATCAATGAACATAAGTACGGTAACATGAATAAAGAATTGTTAATATATTATCCAAAATTTCCTACATAATACTGTAATGAAAAAATGCTTTTACCAAGGACAAATCTGGTGGATACCAACATAACTGTATGATTAAACTTCACCCACCATAGTGAACTAATAATAATACTAATTATCCTACTAAAAATACATACTCTGAATATAATTATGAGAAAATATTAGGCTACCCACATTGAGGTTTATTTTACCAACAACTGATCTGTGCTCTTCAAAATATATCAATATCATAAAAGGAAAGAAAGGCTGAAAAATTGTTTCAAGTTTAAGGGACTGAAGAGACAAAGCAATAGAATGAAGTTTGTGATGGTAGATTGGATCAGGGATGCTGGTGGATATCTAACAGGGCCATCTATTCTTGAGACAACAAAATTTTAATATGGGCTTTGTATTAAATAAATTATGTTATTTTTAAAGGTCCTCAATTTAATCATTTGACTGCTTATGTAACCAAGTGTATTTGGTGTTAAAATATTTATGCTAAAGCATTTGGAAATATAGGAGCAAAATGATGACTTGCATAAATCTGTTTGTAGGATATATGAGTGATCTTTGCAGTTTTATTGCAACTCTTTTGTGAATTTGAAGTTATTTTTAAATAAGAGCTGAAAATATTTAAGTTAAAATTCAGAAAAGCATAGTAGGATTTTCTGCTCACTATTGGTGCTGAGGAAACAAATACCCATCACCCCTTTTGGACTAAATACTTTTCATTTCTTGGAGAGAATAGCAAACACTTTTAAAAAGTAGTTTTTCTTTCAAACTGTTGCCTAGTATATGCTAAAAATAATAAGTTAAACTGAAAAAGCATGTTAATTATAAATAAGATTAATTGAATATAAATTGACACATCTAACACGTTGACTAAAATTACAGTTTTATTCAAGACTTTTATTTGCCTCAATACTTTGTTTAAATGACTTTTCATGCTATATTTTTAGATAAAATACTGTTCAAATTATAACTTCTAGAATCCCAGCGTCGATATTAATAAATTTTCTCATATTAGCAAAACATATTTTTTCCATTAAAGATGCACAAAATACATTTTGCAACAATTGTGGTCTATATTATTCAACAAAAAACTTAATGAGTTCACAGTGTGGTCACTGAATGATTCTTCTGATCAGTGAATTAAGTAAATGAAGCAGAAATATAGACAATCAAATGAAGATGTAAAGCTCCCTCACCACATATAATCACATATTTAATGTTTATTGAATAAATTCTGATAGTTATTGTGTAAAAAGTTTTTATTTCTTTCTCTTAAAGCAGAATTCAACTGAACAAAATAAAAGTATGTTATATAAGGAGCAAGAAGCTTGTAACATAACTAAATTCTATGCTGCTATTTCAAACAGGATTATACTTAAAAACACAATCAAGATAGTACTATAGATATGAAGGGGTATTAGATAGTATTAATAAGCAGGAAAACTAATTATCACCTTCTGCTTCTAGTACACTTGAACCTTCAACTTGAATGTGATGAGCACCACTTTGAATAGGGTGCTGAACAATTGAGTTATCTTGCTTTTGTGCTTTAGGCAAACTGGATGGCATCACTATTCTCTAGGCTGCCCAGATATTAGCACTACATGTTAAGCACAGGTGAGATTGGCTGGAAGACCAATGAGAAGACTGCTGAGGTTACTGGCAAGAGATGGATAAATACATATGCTGGCTGTTCCGGGGTTCCAGAAATAGGAAAGATTTCTTAACCAGGGTTGCATGTTAGTATCAGAGCCATTGGAACTCAAGAAAACATATGGGCTTAAGCATTAGATATATGTCACACAGAAGTCAATATAGACTGATAACCAAAGCCTCTTCAATAATTTTGATTTCAGTTATTTTATTCTTATAATCCGTACAAATGATTCTCTAGTAGCAGATTACTAGAATCAGATCTTCCAATTTACTTATTAAAATTCAGTTTCCTGATTCCCTTCCTCAAGTATGGAATTAAAATATTCATGATGGATTTCTAAAATCTGCAGTTTTACAAAACATCCCGGGTGACATCTGTGTACTAAAATTTGGAAACCAAGGTACTATGCTCTACTGCATTAAGGAAGATTCTTTCCTTGAAAGATCATTTATAAGTAATTCCTAGGAGAAATTAAATCCTTTTTCAAAACTCATATACATACATACCTATTAACAACCAAATTGCCACCTTTATTCTGCATGAAAAGGTAAAAAAAAAACACAAAATAGTAAATAAAGAGTATAAATTTAAAAAATAAGAGCTTGAAAGCAAATTAGACAGTAGCAATGAGAAAAGAAAAACATGAACATATCTATTTACTAGAGTGCTTCATTACATTGAGGTTTCTAACTATGGGGAAATGGAAATGAAAGTGTAATTCTATAACTAATTGTATATGCTTATAGTAGCTTCAGAAAAATATATTATTTCATTAAATTGCTTACCCTCAAGTTGTCTTTTCCAACTCTTTTAATTGGCTCTTACAGTATGCTAATTGTGAGGCACAATTAAAGACTCCAGATGCGACTGTGATTTAGCTTGTTGAAAGAAATTGTGAGACATTGATGATCAATGCTAATTTCTTACATTCTGTTCAAATCTTGGCAGTAACATGAGAAAATCCCACACAATGTTGTTGCACCACATTAATTATTTTTTCTTTCTTTACTCAAATATGTGACACATTTGAAATTAATAGATTTCTTCACTTAACAACAAATAGAGGAATCTCCGAATATGTATATGTATGTGATTTTTCTAAGTCAGAGACATATACCTAGAAAAAAATTTTAATGACAACTGATTTATCGTTTTATAGCCTGGTAACAGTGCACACAAAAGTACTCTTTCTTTCCTTTTTGTGTGTATTTTGTCATTATTGTAAAGTCACCTAAGTTAAGCATAGGGATTTCCACAAATGAATATTTTCAATATTAGTAAATGATCTTAACCTTGAAGTCAATAATAAATATCTCAAATAACATTTTATATAATAGGTTCTTAATCTGCTTTTTCTGTTATTAGAACTTTGGGCATCAAATATATAGCACCATAAATCCACTGAGGGAGGAAGCGTATGACATAGAATATATTGGCTTAGCCAGATTTGAGTTACATTTGGCTTTGCCATTTACTAGCTCTGAAATCATCGGTAACAGATAGCTCCAAGATTTCATATTTTAATCTACCAATAAGAACATTACTGCCTATCCTACAGGGTGTTTATATTGATTAAGATAGACAATGTACATGAATTATTGGTTTGAGTTTTCTATGTTCAATAAACAACCAATTCTTATGATGATGATGAAGGTAGTTAATAGTAGTAAAATAGAAGTATATTGAATTTCAATTAACTTATAGAAAAATCAGATACCCAAAAAGGAACAAAAAAAACCTTCATAATGACCTATCTGTGATAAAACATGATAAAAGCTGAAAGAGAAGTCAACAAATCAGAGGAAATACAAATCCAGGTGAGAAAAATTCACTACAGATCTTTCTTAATATTTTAAGATCATAAGATCTCTATTTTCGTTTGTCTTTATCATAATGTCTATAAGGCACTCAAAAATTCTTGCTAAAATGGAATTCCTCTTTAATTGATTGGTGATGAAGCCTGTAGACATCTTAGTTATTAATGAGGATATAGTTGGATTCAAAAATTCTGGTGATTCTGATAACACATTAGCAAGGAAAAATTTTTCATATTGAAAACAAATCAATAATGTCCTATGCATGCCTCCATTGTAATGCAGAATGAGAATTACAAAGAGTATTTAATACAGCTTTTGAAGAATTTTAAATAAGGCGTTTAAAACAGTAATGGTATCCTGACTTCAATGAAAGATTCAGGCTATTTAAAAATGTGATTCTTCATTTTTTAGAATCCTTTAGAATCAGAAAAATGTGTGATATTTATTTACATTATTATTATTATTTTTTGCTGTAACACATAAGCTTCCTAATCTCTGTTCTTTAGCATGTAGGATTTTATATCTTGGTCTGTGAAAGTCCAATCTGCAATGTTGAGTAGTGGATTCCACATAGTCATTTACAAATACAGGCTGATGATGGCTCTGCCATCTTCAACAAGTGACTTCCAGGGTTTCTCTGTCAGCAGATGTTGACATTACCCTGTCCACAACCTCATGGAATTTACCAATATAGTACATTTCAGCCCCGCTTCTGCCACCAGCATCTATATCACTTGCTGAGAGCTTTTTTTGATAAGATAAACTCATTCTGCCTGTTAACAGCAGGCTAGAAGTGCTGCCCAGTAATGTCTGTCTGTAGTAACAGCACTCAACTAAAGAGAGCAAGAGGACCAGTACCCTATTTCTCTGGTCTCTTTGGTGGGATAATTGGAGGTGCATGTTCTACACTGACCCTTCAATTCCACAACAGTGTTAAACCAGTTACTTGCAATGTTAATTAACTTGATAACATGTCCTTTATTATCTGTATTCCTTTCCTGATTCTATGAACATGGATGAGAGACTAAGAAAGGCTATATAATCAATTGTTAATATGGATCACTAAATGGAAAATGAGGCTTATGTGGGGTTAGGGGATCTTATGGGAAATGGCTTCGAGGTAAAATAACTGGGAAAAGTACCCAAAGCAAGCATGTACATGATCACAAACAAATCTATATTAAGAAATTAAGTAAACTATCATTTAAAATAACTAAGATAAATTTAATATATAATAAAGTAAAATCACTACATTAAGCATATTTTATCTGGTTATCTGGAAGTTAATCATGTTGTAATCATATATTTGTAAGAATATACACATACACACAAAAACATGTCTTATTACAACATACAAAAATAGAGGGAACACATGGTCTTAACTCTAATATCAGCATTTAACATACATAAAATATGTGTGGTTTTTCTTGCAAGAAATATTTTATAGTCAATCTAGAAGGATTCAAACTAAATTAACTCTTTTCCAGACTGCCCAAAATGATATCTGTATGGGCATGCCTAGACCAAGAAGCCATATCACTTTCAAGTAAAAAGTAAAAGCAGGAGTGGAGATTTCAAACTGTATGTAATGAAGCAAATAAAAAATATAGTTTTAAATATATCTCGTAAGGCCTGGCGCGGTGGCTCATGCCTGTAATCCTAGCACTCTGGGAGGCCAAGGCGGGAGGATTGCTCCAGATCAGGAGCTTGAAACCAGCCTGAGCAAGAGCGAGACCACGTCTCTACTAAAAATAGAAAGAAATTAATTGGTCAGCTAAAAATATATATATGGGAAAAAAATTAGCTGGGCGTGGTGGTGCATGCTTATAGTCCCAGCTACTTGGGAGGCTGAGGCAGGAGTATCGCTTGAGCCCAGGAGTTTGAGACCAGCCTGAGCAAGAGCGAGACCACGTCTCTACTAAAAATAGAAAGAAATTAATTGGTCAGCTAAAAATATATATATGGGAAAAAAATTAGCTGGGCGTGGTGGTGCATGCTTATAGTCCCAGCTACTTGGGAGGCTGAGGCAGGAGTATCGCTTGAGCCCAGGAGTTTGAGATTGCTGTGAGCTAGGTTGATGCCATGGCACTCTAGCCTGGGCAACAGAGTGAGTCTCTGTCTCAAAAAAAAGAAAGAAAGAAAGAAAGAAAGAAAGAAAGAAAGAAAGAAAGAAAGAAAGAAAGAAAGAAAGAAAGAAAGAAAGAAACCTCTTAAGAACAATTATCTAATGAATGAGTTTTTGAAATTATCCCAGGAATGAGTTTTTGAAACCAGGAGTTTTTGAAATTCGCTTCCTATTATATATTCACATTACCATGAAATAAGAGTAAATCACCATCTTATTTTTTAAATTATTGTGAAAATAATTTGGAGAACAAAATGTCTACATTAGAGTCACCAAAAATGTGTTATTATTTTACTAACAGAAGGTAAGAAAGTATGTATATATGACTTACTCTATTAATATTTACACATTTAACAAGATGAAAATTAACCTAATTAATTTATACATTATATGTGTTTATGTGAGTGTATGATATAAAAATAAATCATTCTTACCTATGCATTCACCTTCCATTTTCAAAGAAATATACACTACACTTCTTTTTTCTCTCTTAAAATAGTTTCAAAGTATGTTTTTCATCATACTTGCTCTTCTGTACTTTCCTTATCACTTTGTATATCTATCTTTCTTAGTAAACTCTGAACTTCCTGAGGATTCTGGCTATATCTTATTCTAAATAGTGTAGAATTAAATATGTCTTCTTGATTTGGAAAATTGAAACTGCCATTTAGAGAAGGTTGCACTACATAATACTTCATTCATACATTTATAAAAATGTATTATGTACTGACTATATACTCACCCCAGTGCTAAGAGCTCAAAATATAAAATATTACATGATATGGAACATAAACTTTATTTTAAAATCTTATGATATTCTGCAATTGAAAGGTATGTATGATTTGTATTTAGACAGAACACTCTAAGGGCAGTATGTAATATGGATCTGAGAATAGAAAATTAAAGAAAAATGGATAAATGGAACATATTATGATACTCAAGGATAAAGGGATTTGAGGTACTAATACTGAGTATATTTGATGCAAACATTATGGCACTGTGCTATTATAACTGGTCCACAGACATGGCCCCTAATGAATGAGATCTTTCAGTATTCGTGCTTGTTAAATCTGGGCTTGCTCTGCTATTCTCTTTGATCAATAATATGCAGCTGGGCCGGGCGTGGTGGACCAGGCCTGTAATCCTAGCACTCTGGGAGGCCGAGGCGGGAGGATTGCTCAAGGTCAGGAGTTCAAAAGGGAGACTTTGTCTTTACTAAAAATAGGAAGAAATTAATTGTCCAGCTAAAAATATATATACAAAAAAAAAATTAACCGGTATGGTGGCACATGCCTGTAGTCTCAGCTACTAGGGAGGCTGAGGCAAGAGTATCGCTTGAGCCCAGGAGTTTGAGGTTTCTGTGAGCTAGGTTGATGCCATGGCACTCTAGTCTGGGCAACAGAGTGAGCCTCTGACTCAAAAAAAAAATAATAATAATATGCAGCTGAAGAGACTCTTGAACTTGCAAAACTAGTTCTTAGAAGAGTTGAAGTGTCCACCTTCATCTAATAAAACACTCCCTCCTAAAGTCCAGTCACCACACTGTTAGTAGTCCAAGCCACATGGAAAGGCCACATTAAGGAAAAACGTGTTGTTATCATTGACATTTCATGGAGAAGCTGCCAGCCAAAAGCTAGCATTAATTAGAATCACATAGGTGAAATTTCTTAAACATTGCATTCCAGTGTAGACTCCAGATGTCTGTGGCACCAGATGACAATGATATAGAGTAAAATAACCATCCAGCTGAGCCCCAACGGCAAATAGAATTATGAGAGATAATAAAATCATTGTTATTTAATCCAGCAAATTTTAGAATAGATTTGTCATGCAACATAGACAACTTAGACAAATATTGGTACCAGAGGTAGGTTGCTGCTGTGACAAGACTGAAATATGTGGCATCAGCTTTGGGACCAGTTGTTAGGTGCAAGCT